AGCAGAGCCTGCTCGACTGCAACTTCCGTCAAACTGCAGAAGCCTACTTCTTCTACCAAATCCTCAAGAACTTCCCGTCGAAGGCGAGATCGGCTGCGCCCAAGCGAGGGCGGGGCCTTTCTCTTCGACAGGGGAGAGCGTCGCGACGCTCTGGGGCGTCCTGGGAGAGCATCGCGACGCTCTGGGGCGTCCAGGGAGAGCATCGCGACGCTCCGGGGCGGCTGGGGAGACCATCGCGACGCTCTGGGGCGTCCGGGGAGAGCATCGCGACGCTCTGGGGCGTCCGCGGAGAGCATCGCGACGCTCCGGGGCGTCCGGGGAGAGCATCGCGACGCTCTGGGGCGTCCAGGGAGAGCATCGCGATGCTCTGGGGCGTCCCGGGAGAGCATCCCGATGCTCTGGGGCGTCTGGGGAGAGCATCACGACGCTCTGGGGCGGCCAAAGATAGCATCGCGACGCTCCGAAGCGTCCGGGGAGAGCATCGCGACGCTCTGGGGCGTCCGAGGAGAGCATCGCGACGCTCCGGGGCGGCTGGGGAGAGCATCACGTCGCTCCGGGTCGGCCGGGGAGAGCATCGCGACGGTCTGGGGCGGCCGGGAAGAGCATCGCGACGCTCTGGGGCGTCCAAAGAGAGCATCGCGACGCTCCGGGGCGGCTGGGTAGAGCATCGCGACGCTCTGGGGCGTCCGGGGAGAGCATCGCGATGCTCTGGGGCGTCCGGGGAGAGCATCATGACGCCCAGGGGCGTCCGGGGAGAGCATCGCGACGCTCTGGGTCGTCCGAGGAGAGCATCGCGACGCTCCGGGGCGGCTGGGGAGAGCATCGCGACGAAACGCGGACGGATCCGCACATGTGCACGAAGTGCAGCGGGCGCTCTTCATTCGCAAGCGCCGATGACCGATGATGCTCGCAACCCTCCCACGCACTTGCTGGCTTGGCAAGAGGACCAGACAAGCGCAGCCAAGTGACATGGCGGAAGAAAAACACTTGGAATGAGCGCTTCTACCCCCAAAATGTTGAAGGATCCGCATTCGTACAGGAAGTGCAGCGGGCGCTCTTCATTTGCGAGAGCCGATGATAGATGATGCTCGCAACCCTCCCACGCCCTTGCTGGCTTGGCAATAGGACCAGACAAGCACAGCCACGTGACCTGGCGGATGAAAAACGCTCGGAACGAGCGCTAGTACCCCCAAAACTCGGAAGGTTCCGCACATGTGCAAAAAGTGCAGCGGGCGCTCTTCATTCGCGAGCGCCGATGACCGATGATGCTCGCAACCCTCCCACGCCCTTGCTGGCTTGGCAAGAGGACCCGACAAGCGCAGCCACGTGACTTGGCCGAAGAAAACGCTTGGAATGAGGGCTTCTACCACCAAATTCATGAAGGATCAGCATTCGTGCAGGAAGTGCAGCGGGCGCTCTTCATTTGCGAGCGCCGATGACCGATGATGCTCGCAACCCTCCCACGCCCTTGCCGGCTTGGCAATGGGAATAGACAAGCGCAGCCACGTGACCTGGCGGAAGAAAAACGCTCGGAACGCGCACTAGTACCCCCAAAACGCGGAAGGTTCCACACATGTGCACGAAGTGCAGCGGGCGCTCTTCATTCGCGAGCGCCGATGACCGATGATGCTCACATCCCTCCCACACCCTTGCTGGCTTGGCAAGAAGACCAGACAAGCGCAACAACGTGACCCGGGGGAAGAAAAATGCTCGAAACGAGCGCTAGTACCCCCAAAACGCGGACGGATCCGCACATGTGCACGAAGTGCAGCGGGCGCTCTTCATTCGCAAGCGCCGATGACCGATGATGCTCGCAACCCTCCCACGCCCTTGCTGGCTTGGCAAGAGGACCAGACAAGCGCAGCCACGTGACTTGGCGGAAGAAAAACGCTCGGAACGAGCGCTTTCACGCCCAAAACGCGGAAGGATCCACACATGTGCACGAAGTGCAGCGGGCGCTCTTCATTCGCGAGCGCCGGTGACCGATGATGCTCGCAACCCTTCCACGCCCTTGCTGGCTTGGTAATAGATCAGACTGCGGAGAGTCACTACACAACGGGAGTGGACTACGGTGGAGGGCAAGGAGTTGTGCGGGTGATCGTAGCGTTGTTCTAATGTTCTTACTGCTTGTTGTGTTCACATAGAAGTTTTGGCAAGAGTTTCCACTAAGGAAGAAAGAACAACTTGCAATGAAAAGTTGAAAGTACAATTGAGGCATGCAGAACAAAAAGGACTAGAAAGGCATTCAACTCCTGCGAAATCTGCCAGCGCAGCAGAAGAGTGGCTTGCCAACGTTGCAGCAGAGTGTTCTGCCAATGTTGCACTGCGCGCGGTCTGCCAGCGTTGCAGTCCTAGGTGACTATCTGCAGTCGCAGGTAACTATCTGCAGTCGCAGGTTGTCTATCTGCGCAGATGTGCGCACCTACCAAGTAGGTGCAGGTTGGCGGTTTCACCGTCAGGCACATTGCGCAGGTGCCAGGTAGAAAACGTGTCGTCGGTTTTGCCAGGTGCGCACCGTCGACCACGTGATGCCGTTCCGCAGGTAAAACTTTGCCAAAATCTCCTGGGCGAAAGTGTTAGTGACTAAGGACGGAGTCTATGAAGATTAGGAGTCGAAATATCACAAAATCGTTGGTCTCAATTTCTGGACAGAATCGTTGCGCTCACAAGAAACGCCGTCGACGAAAAACGCACCGTCAAAACTTCACCAAACTCAGATATGTTGTAGCTCTACTCCGTGGCTACAATTCCCAAGTTGAATCGTACGAAAAGGTGAAGTACTTCTTGAGTTATCAATTTCGGCGCACTAGGGGGTATGCTGCCACAGAAATTCAACTCAATCACAATTAACTCACAAGTCCCACAAAAGAACATTGGAGTAGCACTAAACCAGGTAGGAGGGGAAGAGGAGGACGAGAGGGAAGGTCCCAAGGGAGTCCCCAACCAAGGAAACCCCATACCACACAATTCCCTTCCCCATAGGCAACAAACTTTGACCTTTGTCACTTTCCAACCCATGCCATCCACCTCACCCCAACTTGGCCACACTTGCCAACCTGGTTTGGCTTCACCCAACCTCTTGGCAGCATCTACAGTGATGGGTTCGAATTTCCCAACCCCAAAAGTCTATACCCCATAATGAGTCAACCCCACAACTTCCAAAGTAGCTGCAACCAAAATATATAAGCATACGAACTCCAATGTTCGCAACTTTCTTGGTTGTGCTCCGATCGCGACGATTCTTGGTTCGTCGGAAAGCTATTGAGCAGAGGAATCACTTCAGATATCTGCTCAAGCCAAATACCATTCACACACACACAGAAAATCCAAACCACACAAGACACAAATTTCTTGCACACGCTCACACCACGCATGCAACGCACAAACACATGATGGGAGGCAGACAGACGTGAATGCATATGGTTGCATCACACAACAGAAAGTTCACACGCCTCCGCGGGGTTTCGCACAACTCTGCAACTTCGATCGAAGGACTCGCCATTGCTCGGTCGAACAGAGTTCGCCCAGCAGAGTTCCTCGACGGAAGTTCGTCGCGCAGAGATCGTCGACCAGAGCTCATCGCGCAGAGCTCGTCGACCAGATTCCGTCGAGCAGAGCCTGCTCGACTGCAACTTCCGTCAAACTGCAGAAGCCTACTTCTTCTACCAAATCCTCGAGAACTTCCCGTCGACGGCGAGATCGGCTGCGCCCAAGCGAGGGCGGGGCCTTTCTCTTCGACAGGGGAGAGCGTCGCGACGCTCTGGGGCGTCCTGGGAGAGCATCGCGACGCTCTGGGGCGTCCAGGGAGAGCATCGCGACGCTCCGGGGCGGCTGGGGAGACCATCGCGACGCTCTGGGGCGTCCGGGGAGAGCATCGCGACGCTCTGGGGCGTCCGGGGAGAGCATCGCGACGCTCCGAGGCGTCCAGGGAGAGCATCGTGACGCTCTGGGGCGTCCGGGGAGAGCATCGCGATGCTCTGGGGCGTCCGGGGAGAGCATCCCGACGCTCTGGGGCGTCTGGGGAGAGCATCGCGACGCTCTGGGGCGGCCAAAGAGAGCATCGCGACGCTCCGAAGCGTCCGGGGAGAGCATCGCGACGCTCTGGGGCGTCCGGGGAGAGCATCGCGACGCTCTGGGGCGTCCGAGGAGAGCATCGCGACGCTCAAGGGCGGCTGGGGAGAGCATCGCGTCGCTCCGGGTCGGCCGGGGAGAGCATCGCGACGCTCTGGGGCGGCCGGGAAGAGCATCGCGACGCTCTGGGGCGTCCAAGGGGTGCATCGCGACGCTCCGGGGCGGCTGGGGAGACCATCGCGACGCTCCGGGGCGTCCGAGGAGAGCATCGCGACGCTCTGGGGCGTCCGAGGAGAGCATCGCGACGCTCCGGGGCGTCCGGGGAGAGCATCGCAACGCTCTGGGGCGTTCGGGGAGAGCATCGTGACGCTCTAGGGCCTTCGGGGAAAGCATCGCGACGCTCTGGGGCGGCCAAACAGAGCATCGCGACGCTCCGAAGCGTCCGGGGAGAGCATCGCGACGCTCTGGGGCGTCCGGGGAGATCATCGCGACGCTCTGGGGCGTCCTGGGAGAGCAACGCGACGCTCCGGGGCGGCTGGGGAGAGTATCGCGTCACTCCGGGTCGGCCGGGGAGAGCATTGCGACGCTTTGGGGCGTCCGCGGAGAGCATCGCGACGCTCTGGGGCGTCCAGGGAGAGCATCGCGACGCTCCGGGGCGGCTAGGGAGAGCATCGCGACGCTCTGGGGCGTCCGGGGAAAGCATCGCGATGCTCTGGGGCGTCCGGGGAGAGCATCGCGACGCTCCAAGGCGTCCGGGGAGAGCATTGCGACGCTTCGGGGCGTCCGGGGAGAGCATCGCGACGCTCTGGGGCGTCCGGTGAGAGCATCGCGACGCTCCGGGGGGGCCGGGGAGAGCATCGCGACGCTCTGGGGCGTCCGAGGAGAGCATCGCGACGCTCTGGGGCGTCCAGGGAGAGCATCGCAACGCTCTAGGGCGTCCGGGGAGAGCATCGCGACGCTCCGGGGCGTCTGGGGAGAGCATCGCGATGCTCTGGGGCGTCTGGGGAGAGCATGGCGACGCTCCAGGGCGGCTGGGGAGAGCATCGCGACGCTCTGGGGCGTCCGGGGAGAGCATCGCGATGCTCCGAGGCGTCCGGGGAGAGCATCGCGACGCTCCAGGGCGTCCGAGGAGAGCATCGCGACGCTCCGGGGCGTCCGCGGAGAGCATCGCCACGCTCCGGGGCGTCCGTGGAGAGCATCGCGACGCTCCGGGGCGGCCGGGGAGAGCATCGCGACGCTCTGTGGCGTCCGGGGAGAGCATCGCGACGCTCTGGGGCGTCCGGGGAGAGCATCGTGACGCTCTGGGGCGTCCGGGGAGAGCATCGCGACGCTCCGGGGCGTCCGGGGAGAGCATCGCGACGCTCCGGGGCGTCTGGGGAGAGCATCGCGACGCTCCGGGGCGTCCGGGGAGAGCATCGCGACGTTTCGGGGCGTCCAGGGAGAGCATCTCGACGCTTCGGGGCGGCTGGGGAGAGCATCGCGACGCTCCGGGGCAGCTGGGGAGAGCGTCGCGACGCTCTGGGGCGTCCGGGGAGAGCATCGCGACGCTTAGGGGCGTCCAGGGAGAGCATCGCGACGCTCCGGGGCGGCCGGGGAGAGCATCGCGACGCTCTGGGGCGTCCTGGGAGAGCATCGCGACGCTCTGGGGCGGCCGGGGAGAGCATCGCGACGCTCTGGGGCGTCCGGGGAGAGCATCGCGACACTCTGGGGCGTCCTGGGAGGGCATCGCGACGCTCCGGGGCGGCTGGGGAGAGCATCGCGACGCTCTGGGGCGTCCGGGGAGAGCATCCCAACGCTCTGGGGCGTCCGGGGAGAGCATCACGACGCTCTAGGGCGTCCGGGGAGAGCATCGCGACGCTCCGGGGCGTCTGGGGAGAGCATGGCGACGCTCCGGGGCGGCTGGGGAGAGCATCGCGACGCTCTGGGGCGTCCGGGGAGAGCATCGCGACGCTCTGGGGCGTCCGGGGAGAGCATCGCGACGCTCCGGGGCGTCCGGGGAGAGCATCGCAACGCTCTGGGGCGTTCGGGGAGAGCATCGCGACGCTCTGGGGCGGCCAGGAAGAGCATCGCGACGCTCTGGGGCGTCCAAGGAGAGCATCGCGACGCTCCGGGGCGGCTCGGGAGACCATCGCGACGCTCTGGGGCGTCCGGGGAGAGCATCGCGACGCTCTGGGGCGTCCGAGGAGAGCATCGCGACGCTCCGGGGCGTCCGGGGAGAGCATCGCAACGCTCTGGGGCGTTCGGGGAGAGCATCGTGACGCTCTAGGGCCTTCGGGGAAAGCATCGCGACGCTCTGGGGCGGCCAAAGAGAGCATCGCGACGCTCCGAAGCGTCCGGGGAGAGCATCGCGACGCTCTGGAGCGTTCGAGGAGATCATCGCGACGCTCTGGGGCGTCCTGGGAGAGCAACGCGACGCTCCGGGGCGGCTGGGGAGAGCATCGCCTCGCTCCGGGTCGGCCGGGGAGAGCATTGCGACGCTCTGGGGCGTCCGCGGAGAGCATCGCGACGCTCTTGGGCGTCCACGGAGAGCATCGCGACGCTCCGGGGCGGCTGGGGAGAGCATCGCGACGCTCTGGGGCGTCCGGGGAAAGCATCGCGATGCTCTGGGGCGTCCGGGGAGAGCATCGCGACGCTCCAAGGCGTCGGGGGAGAGCATTGCGACGCTTCGGGGCGTCCGGGGAGAGCATCGCGACGCTCTAGGGCATCCGGTGAGAGCATCGCGACGCTCCGGGGGGGCCGGGGAGAGCATCGCGACGCCTTGGGACGTCCGAGGAGAGCATCGCGACGCTCCGGGGCGTCCAGGGAGAGCATCACAACGCTCTAGGGCGTCCGGGGAGAGCATCGCGACGCTCTGGGGCGTCTGGGGAGAGCATCGCGATGCTCGGGGGCGTCTGGGGAGAGCATGGCGACGCTCCGGGGCGGCTGGGGAGAGCATCGCGACGCTCTGGGGCGTCCGGGGAGAGCATCGCGATGCTCCGAGGCGTCCGGGGAGAGCATCGCGACGCTCCAGGGCGTCCGGGGAGAGCATCGCGACGCTCCGGGGCGTCCGGGGAGAGCATCGCAACGCTCTGGGGCGTTCGGGGAGAGCATCGCGACACTCTGGGGCGTCCTGGGAGGGCATCGCGACGCTCCGGGGCGGCTGGGGAGAGCATCGCGACGCTCTGGGGCGTCCGGGGAGAGCATCCCAACGCTCTGGGGCGTCCGGGGAGAGCATCACGACGCTCTAGGGCGTCCGGGGAGAGCATCGCGACGCTCCGGGGCGTCTGGGGAGAGCATGGCGACGCTCCGGGGCGGCTGGGGAGAGCATCGCGACGCTCTGGGGCGTCCGGGGAGAGCATCGCGACGCTCTGGGGCGTCCGGGGAGAGCATCGCGACGCTCCGGGGCGTCCGGGGAGAGCATCGCAACGCTCTGGGGCGTTCGGGGAGAGCATCGCGACGCTCTGGGGCGGCCAGGAAGAGCATCGCGACGCTCTGGGGCGTCCAAGGAGAGCATCGCGACGCTCCGGGGCGGCTCGGGAGACCATCGCGACGCTCTGGGGCGTCCGGGGAGAGCATCGCGACGCTCTGGGGCGTCCGAGGAGAGCATCGCGACGCTCTGGGGCGGCCAGGAAGAGCATCGCGACGCTCTGGGGCGTCCAAGGAGAGCATCGCGACGCTCCGGGGCGGCTCGGGAGACCATCGCGACGCTCTGGGGCGTCCGGGGAGAGCATCGCGACGCTCTGGGGCGTCCGAGGAGAGCATCGCGACGCTCCGGGGCGTCCGGGGAGAGCATCGCAACGCTCTGGGGCGTTCGGGGAGAGCATCGTGACGCTCTAGGGCCTTCGGGGAAAGCATCGCGACGCTCTGGGGCGGCCAAAGAGAGCATCGCGACGCTCCGAAGCGTCCGGGGAGAGCATCGCGACGCTCTGGAGCGTTCGAGGAGATCATCGCGACGCTCTGGGGCGTCCTGGGAGAGCAACGCGACGCTCCGGGGCGGCTGGGGAGAGCATCGCCTCGCTCCGGGTCGGCCGGGGAGAGCATTGCGACGCTCTGGGGCGTCCGCGGAGAGCATCGCGACGCTCTTGGGCGTCCACGGAGAGCATCGCGACGCTCCGGGGCGGCTGGGGAGAGCATCGCGACGCTCTGGGGCGTCCGGGGAAAGCATCGCGATGCTCTGGGGCGTCCGGGGAGAGCATCGCGACGCTCCAAGGCGTCGGGGGAGAGCATTGCGACGCTTCGGGGCGTCCGGGGAGAGCATCGCGACGCTCTAGGGCATCCGGTGAGAGCATCGCGACGCTCCGGGGGGGCCGGGGAGAGCATCGCGACGCCTTGGGACGTCCGAGGAGAGCATCGCGACGCTCCGGGGCGTCCAGGGAGAGCATCACAACGCTCTAGGGCGTCCGGGGAGAGCATCGCGACGCTCTGGGGCGTCTGGGGAGAGCATCGCGATGCTCGGGGGCGTCTGGGGAGAGCATGGCGACGCTCCGGGGCGGCTGGGGAGAGCATCGCGACGCTCTGGGGCGTCCGGGGAGAGCATCGCGATGCTCCGAGGCGTCCGGGGAGAGCATCGCGACGCTCCAGGGCGTCCGAGGAGAGCATCGCGACGCTCCGGGGCGTCCGCGGAGAGCATCGCCACGCTCCGGGGCGTCCGTGGAGAGCATCGCGACGCTCCGGGGCGGCCGGGGAGAGCATCGCGACGCTCTGTGGCGTCCGGGGAGAGCATCGCGACGCTCTGGGGCGTCCGGGGAGAGCATCGTGACGCTCTGGGGCGTCCGGGGAGAGCATCGCGACGCTCCGGGGCGTCCGGGGAGAGCATCGCGACGCTCCGGGGCGTCTGGGGAGAGCATCGCGACGCTCCGCGGCGTCCGGGGAGAGCATCGCGACGTTTCGGGGCGTCCAGGGAGAGCATCTCGACGCTTCGGGGCGGCTGGGGAGAGCATCGCGACGCTCCGGGGCAGCTGGGGAGAGCGTCGCGACGCTCTGGGGCGTCCGGGGAGAGCATCGCGACGCTTAGGGGCGTCCAGGGAGAGCATCGCGACGCTCAGGGGCGGCCGGGGAGAGCATCGCGACGCTCTGGGGCGTCCTGGGAGAGCATCGCGACGCTCTGGGGCGGCCGGGGAGAGCATCGCGACGCTCTGGGGCGTCCGGGGAGAGCATCGCGACACTCTGGGGCGTCCTGGGAGGGCATCGCGACGCTCCGGGGCGGCTGGGGAGAGCATCGCGACGCTCTGGGGCGTCCGGGGAGAGCATCCCAACGCTCTGGGGCGTCCGGGGAGAGCATCACGACGCTCTAGGGCGTCCGGGGAGAGCATCGCGACGCTCCGGGGCGTCTGGGGAGAGCATGGCGACGCTCCGGGGCGGCTGGGGAGAGCATCGCGACGCTCTGGGGCGTCCGGGGAGAGCATCGCGACGCTCTGGGGCGTCCGGGGAGAGCATCGCGACGCTCCGGGGCGTCCGGGGAGAGCATCGCAACGCTCTGGGGCGTTCGGGGAGAGCATCGCGACGCTCTGGGGCGGCCAGGAAGAGCATCGCGACGCTCTGGGGCGTCCAAGGAGAGCATCGCGACGCTCCGGGGCGGCTCGGGAGACCATCGCGACGCTCTGGGGCGTCCGGGGAGAGCATCGCGACGCTCTGGGGCGTCCGAGGAGAGCATCGCGACGCTCCGGGGCGTCCGGGGAGAGCATCGCAACGCTCTGGGGCGTTCGGGGAGAGCATCGTGACGCTCTAGGGCCTTCGGGGAAAGCATCGCGACGCTCTGGGGCGGCCAAAGAGAGCATCGCGACGCTCCGAAGCGTCCGGGGAGAGCATCGCGACGCTCTGGAGCGTTCGAGGAGATCATCGCGACGCTCTGGGGCGTCCTGGGAGAGCAACGCGACGCTCCGGGGCGGCTGGGGAGAGCATCGCCTCGCTCCGGGTCGGCCGGGGAGAGCATTGCGACGCTCTGGGGCGTCCGCGGAGAGCATCGCGACGCTCTTGGGCGTCCACGGAGAGCATCGCGACGCTCCGGGGCGGCTGGGGAGAGCATCGCGACGCTCTGGGGCGTCCGGGGAAAGCATCGCGATGCTCTGGGGCGTCCGGGGAGAGCATCGCGACGCTCCAAGGCGTCGGGGGAGAGCATTGCGACGCTTCGGGGCGTCCGGGGAGAGCATCGCGACGCTCTAGGGCATCCGGTGAGAGCATCGCGACGCTCCGGGGGGGCCGGGGAGAGCATCGCGACGCCTTGGGACGTCCGAGGAGAGCATCGCGACGCTCCGGGGCGTCCAGGGAGAGCATCACAACGCTCTAGGGCGTCCGGGGAGAGCATCGCGACGCTCTGGGGCGTCTGGGGAGAGCATCGCGATGCTCGGGGGCGTCTGGGGAGAGCATGGCGACGCTCCGGGGCGGCTGGGGAGAGCATCGCGACGCTCTGGGGCGTCCGGGGAGAGCATCGCGATGCTCCGAGGCGTCCGGGGAGAGCATCGCGACGCTCCAGGGCGTCCGGGGAGAGCATCGCGACGCTCCGGGGCGTCCGGGGAGAGCATCGCAACGCTCTGGGGCGTTCAGGGAGAGCATCGTGACGCTCTAGGGCCTTCGGGGAAAGCATCGTGACGCTCTGGGGCGGCCAAAGAGAGCATCGCGACGCTCCGAAGCGTCCGGGGAGAGCATCGCGACGCTCTGGGGCGGCTGGGGAGAGCATCGCGACGCTCTGGGGCGTCCGGAGAGAGCATCGCGACACTCCGGGGCGTCCTGGGAGGGCATCGCGACGCTCCGGGGCGGCTGGGGAGAGCATCGCGACGCTCTGGGGCGTCCGGGGAGAGCATCCCAACGCTCTGGGGCGTCCGGGGAGAGCATCACGACGCTCTAGGGCGTCCGGGGAGAGCATCGCGACGCTCCGGGGCGTCTGGGGAGAGCATGGCGACGCTCCGGGGCGGCTGGGGAGAGCATCGCGACGCTCTGGGGCGTCCGGGGAGAGCATCGCGACGCTCTGGGGCGTCCGGGGAGAGCATCGCGACGCTCCGGGGCGTCCGGGGAGAGCATCGCAACGCTCTGGGGCGTTCGGGGAGAGCATCGCGACGCTCTGGGGCGGCCGGGAAGAGCATCGCGACGCTCTGGGGCGTCCAAGGAGAGCATCGCGATGCTCCGGGGCGGCTGGGGAGACCATCACGACGCTCTGGGGCGTCCGGGGAGAGCATCGCGACGCTCTGGGGCGTCCGAGGAGAGCATCGCGACGCTCGGGGGCGTCCGGGGAGAGCATCGCAACGCTCTGGGGCGTTCGGGGAGAGCATCGTGACGCTCTAGGGCCTTCGGGGAAAGCATCGCGACGCTCTGGGGCGGCCAAAGAGAGCATCGCGACGCTCCGAAGCGTCCGGGGAGAGCATCGCGACGCTCTGGGGCGTCCGGGGAGATCATCGCGACGCTCTGGGGCGTCCTGGGAGAGCAACGCGACGCTCCGGGGCGGCTGGGGAGAGCATCGCGTCGCTCCGGGTCGGCCGGGGAGAGCATTGCGACGCTCTGGGGCGTCCGCGGAGAGCATCGCGACGCTCAGGGGCGTCCAGGGAGAGCATCGCGACGCTCCGGGGCGGCTGGGGAGAGCATCGCGACGCTCTGGGGCGTCCGGGGAAAGCATCGCGATGCTCTGGGGCGTCCGGGGAGAGCATCGCGACGCTCCATAGCATCGCGACGCTCCGGGGGGGCCGGGGAGAGCATCGCGACGCTCTGGGGCATCCGAGGAGAGCATCGCGACGCTCCGGGGCGTCCAGGGAGAGCATCGCAACGCTCTAGGGCGTCCGGGGAGAGCATCGCGACGCTCCGGGGCGTCTGGGGAGAGCATCGCGATGCTCGGGGGCGTCTGGGGAGAGCATGGCGACGCTCCGGGGTGGCTGGGGAGAGCATCGCGACGCTCTGGGGCGTCCGGGGAGAGCATCGCGATGCTCCGAGGCGTCCGGGGAGAGCATCGCGACGCTCCAGGGCGTCCGGGGAGAGCTTCCCGACGCTCCGGGGCGTCCGCGGAGAGCATCGCGACGCTCTGTGGCGTCCGGGGAGAGCATCGCGACGCTCTGGGGCGTCCGGGGAGAGCATCGTGACGCTCTGGGGCGTCCGGGGAGAGCATCGCGACGCTCCGGGGCGTCTGGGGAGAGCATCGCGACGCTCCGGGGCGTCCGGGGAGAGCATCGCGACGTTTCGGGGCGTCCAGGGAGAGCATCTCGACGCTTCGGGGCGGCTGGGGAGAGCATCGCGACGCTCTGGGGAGTCCGGGGAGAGCATCGCGATGCTCTGGGGGGTCCGGGGAGAGCATCGCGACGCTCCGGGGCGTCCGGGGAGAGCATCGCGACGCTCCGGGGCGGCCGGGGAGAGCATCGCGACGCTCCGGGGCGTCCTGGGAGAGCATCGCGACGCTCTGGGGCGGCCGGGGAGAGCATCGCGACGCTCTGGGGCGTCCGGGGAGAGCATCGCGACACTCTGGGGCGTCCTGGGAGGGCATCGCGACGCTCCGGGGCGGCTGGGGAGAGCATCGCGACGCTTTGGGGCGTCCGGGGAGAGCATCGCAACGCTCTGGGGCGTCCGGGGAGAGCATCACGACGCTCTAGGGCGTCCGGGGAGAGCATCGCGACGCTCCGGGGCGTCTGGGGAGAGCATGGCGACGCTCCGGGGCGGCTGGGGAGAGCATCGCGACGCTCTGGGGCGTCCGGGGAGAGCATCGCGGCGCTCCGGGGCATCCGAGGAGAGCATCGCGACGCTCCGAGGCGTCCGGGGAGAGCATCGCGATGCTCCGGGGCGGCCGGGGAGAGCATCGCGACGCTCCGGGGCGTCCGGGGAGAGCATCCCGACGCTCTGGGGCGGCCGGGGAGAGCATCGCGACGCTCCGGGGCGTCCGGGGAGAGCATCGCGACGCTCTGGGGCGTCCTAGGAGAGCATAGCGACGCTCTGGGGCGTCCGGGGAGAGCATCGCGACGCTCCGGGGCGGCTGGGGAGAGCATCGCGACGCTCCTGGGCGGCCGGGGAGAGCATCGCGACGCTCCGGGGCGGCTTCATCGACGAGGAGCAGACCGGGCGCACTCCGAAGACGCCGGTCTCCGTCGCCGCCTACGCGGAGCAGACATTCGACGACGAGGAGGCGCAGGAGCGCGAGGAGGAGGAGTACCGGCAGAAGGTCGGCTCGCTGCAGTTCGCGGCGAGGACGACGAGGCCGGACATCGCATTCGCGTGCAGCAAGCTGGGGAGCGGCCTCACGGTGAGGAGCGACCAGCACTGGCGCGAAGTCGACCGCTGTCTCGCCTACCTTGCCAACACGCGAGACACCGCTCTGGAGTACCGCTCTGCCACGTGACTTGGCGGAAGAAAAGCGCTTGGAATGAGCGCTTCTACCACCAAATTCCTGAAGGATCCGCATTCGTGCAGGATGTGCAGCGGGCGCTCTTCACTTGCGAGCGCCGATGACCGATGATGCTCGCAACCCTCCCATGCCCTTGCTGGCTTGGCAATGGGACCAGAGAAGCGCAGCCACGTGACCTGGCGGAAGAAAAACGCTCGGAACGCGCACTAGTACCCCCAAAACGCGGAAGGTTCCGCACATGTGCACGAAGTGCAGCGGACACACTTCATTCGCGAGTGCCGATGACCGATGATGCTCGCAACCCTCCCACACCCTTGCTGGCTTGGCAAGAAGACCAGACAAGCGCAACCACGTGACATGGGGGAAGAAAAACGCTCGTAACGAGCGCTAGTACCCCCAAAACGCGAACGGATCCGCACATGTGCACGAAGTGCAGCGGGCGCTCTTCATTTGCAAGCGCCGATGACCGATGATGCTCGCAACCCTCCCACACCCTTGCTGGCTTGGCAAGAGGACCACACAAGCGCAGCCACGTGACTTGGCGGAAGAAAAACGCTCGGAACGAGCGCTTTCACCCCCAAAATGCGGAAGGATCCACACATGTGCACGAAGTGCAGCGGGCGCTCTTCATTCGCGAACGCCGGTGACCGATGATGCTCGTGTCAACGGGAGTTGTGTTTGGCCCCATCCTCGCTTGGGCGGAGCCGACCGTGGGAGCCACGAAATTGCAGTGGCCCGTGGGAGCCACGAAATTGCAGTGGCCCGTGGGAGCCACGAAATTGCAGTGGCCCGTGGGAGCCACGAAATTGCAGTGGCCCGTGGGAGCCACGAAATCGTGGGGGACCGCGGAGCCACGAAGTCGTGGGGGACCGCGGAGCCACGAAATCGTGGGGGACCGCGGAGCCACGAAATCGTGGGGGACCGCGGAGCCACGAAATCGTGGGGGACCGCGGAGCCACGAAATCGTGGGGGACCGCGGAGCCACGAAATCGTGGGGGACCGCGGAGCCACGAAATCACGGGGGATCGTGGATCCACGAAACCGCGGAGGACCGCGGTGACCGAGAAACCGCGGGAGGACCGCGAAGTACCCGGTCAACCAGGATACCCGCGCGACGTACGCGAAAATCGCCGGAGATGTTATCTACGATGGCGATCTCGGGGGTGGTATCCCGAGGTCGACGTGGCTGGTGGGCGCCGTCACGGGCGGAGTGTCTGCGCTGGGCATGTGACGAGGAGTTGGGCACCAACCAGCTGCACGCACCTGCGAAGCTGGTGCACCGTTGTCCCGCGGATGCGACGCTGTGCAGCCGACATACTGCAGCGTTGGCACACCGCGGACTTGCAACGTTGGCAAGCCGCGACTCTGCCCTGCTGGAGCGCGGTCGACCGAGTTGTGCTGGCACGCGGTCGACCGTGCTGCGCTGGCAGTGGACCAGCAAGCCTTGCTAGGTCTGATGTAGTCAGTGTTGCCAATGTTGATGCAATCATTCTGAAACTTTTGTTGTGATGATTTCCTAGTGAAACTCTTGCAAATTTTCCCCGTGAACTAGCAAGCAGTGTTAGCACTTGGAAACGACTAAGGAACGAACGAACGCTACGATCACTCTTGCCCCGTGCCTAGCCCGCAGTCTAGCTCCCGTTGCACTAGTTATCTCCGCATGGTGCGGTGAGCGTGGACGACACCACGACGAAACCTTTGGTTTAGCTGTCTTCTCACTCACCTAGCTTGTTCGTAGACCGACAGCTGTGCGGTAGTCACTATGGTAGGAGCCGTAGGTGACGGAGGGGTGGTGGACACCCTGGAGGCATGGCTGGAGAACGTGAGGAGAAAACACGAGGCCAACGAGTATGGCGACATCCTCTGGACGGTCGTCGAGGCTGGCATCCGCTCCTTGTGGGCGACGGAGCACCCTCCCTCTCGGCCTGCGTCTCCTCGACCGGTGAACAACGCGGGCGGCGGTGACGCGGACGTCAACGCGGGTGGTGGCCAAGTCGGCAGCAGCGCGGGAGGCACATCGAGGCAGCGAGGTGTGATTCGCGCCGATGAAGTCGGCGGCGTTCAGGCGCGAGGGATGCAGTCGTCCACGGCTGCAGGGGCCCCGTGAAACTACGTCGGAGGCAGATGAAGTGAATTGGCGCCGATGTCGGCGACACACGTGACCGCGGGAGGAATTGCGCCGAGCTACGGCTACTTCAAGTTCTCGCCGGACAGGATCTCGGTCACCCCTCCGCTGGTCGGTCGTCCCGACATCCTCACGTGGAAGGAAGCCATCGAGCACCAGCTGGAGTTGGCCGGGCTGATAGGCTTCGCCCGCGGGACCGTGGCGACGCCGGAGGAGCACTACCCCGACCTGCGAGCAGAATTTCGCGCCGTGCATTTGCTGACTTTTACGGTCATTTCGCGGTGCTGCTCGCCGGGCGTACAGATCGCCCTGAAGTCGTGCAGGGAGTACCTCGACGCTGGCCACCGGGCGTGGCATTTCATCGAGTCAACTTACCAGGTCACCGACGACTTGTTCATCTCCCAGCTTGAGGGGCAGTTGACGCACCTGCGTATGGGCGACGAGGAGACCGCGACTGACTACTGCAATCGAGCTCGGCGAATTCTCACCATCATTCGGATGGCTGGCGCGGAATACTCGACGGCTTCGTACGTCATGCACGTCATGCAAGGACTCCCGAGCAGCTACAATCTGCTGAAGCGGCTGTCGATGGCGCCGAGCACGCGGGCGACGCTCAACGAGGACACACTGACCTCGTACATCCTGCAGGACGAGGCGATGCAGGAGGCTGAGCGGTCCCAAGAGCTTCTCACGCAAGTCCATTTCGCGGCCCCCGCGAAGCAAGGTGGTCGCCCGGGACAGCGCGGGCAGTCTGGTGGCAGTCACCGCGGTGGCGGGAAGCCGGCGAAGGACGCTGACAAGCAGAAGTCGTCCAAGGATGGCGGTCGTGGAGGAGGAGGTCGACGTCGGGAATGCTGGCTGTGCGGCGATCCCGATCACCTCTCCTTCGAGTGCCCCGACCGCAGCGATTCCGACGACGACGACGCGAAGGGAGGCCGCGGAAGTTTTGGCAGCCGTCGTCCGGGTCAAGGAAACCAACCGCGAAAAGAAAAGCAGTCGACGAAATCGACCTCGGCGAAGTACGCCGACTCTTCCGCGGGTGGCAAAGGGCGAGACGGCAAGGAGGCGTCGTGCTCGCTGGTCGGTATAGTGGAGCCGACTGTCTCCCTGGCGCCGGAAGCTGGCGAGGATTTCGAGGCGGTGGCGGCAGCTGTGCAGGAGAACCCCGCGGTGGTCCTGCTCGACAGCGGCTGCTCGCACCACCTGATGGGGACGAAGGCGGCCTTCGTGGAATTGGGGCCGAGCGGCGACGTGAAGCACGTGCGTGGCTTCAATGGGGCGCTGCAGGACGTTCGCGGCCGTGGCACGGTTGCGCTGCAAGGGGAGGCCAGGAAGCGAGTGCTCATCTCCGACGTTCTCTACGTCCCGGGCGTGCAGGCGAATCTGCTTTCGGCTGGCCAGCTGAAGGAGAGCGGGGTGACGCTGAAGGACGACGGCGATCGGATGTTGCTCGTCTCCACGGCGGGGGACGTGCTCGGCCGAGCGACGTACACCGGCCGGGTCCTCTGCACTGACCTACGCCCATGCGCGGTAACGGCGACGACGCCCGCGAAAGAGGAGGTGGCTCTGCGGGCGATCGTCTCGGCGACGAAGGCAACCCCGAACAGGCTGCACGTGAGGCTGGCGCATGTTGGCATGGACACCATCCGGAGCTCGGCGAAGCACGAGGTCGCCACTGGGCTGGACCTCAAGTCGGTATCTGGCGCCGACTCACCGTGTGTTTCGTGCGTCGGCGGGAAGCTGGCGCGACACACCTTCCCCGACCACGGCTCCGAAGTAGACGACGTCCTGGCCGTCGTGCACATCGATTTGTGCGGGCCATTTCGCGTGGCTGCCAAGGACGGCAGCCTGTACTTCTTGCTGCTGAAGGACCGCAAGACCCGCTATGTGTGGGTGCGGCCGGTCGCCAAGAAGTCGGACGTGCTGCTGGAGTTCCAGAAGTGGTTGGTGCTGGTGGAGCGGCAGGCGAAGCACTCGGTGCTGCAACTGCGCTCTGATCGCGGAGGGGAGTTCCTCGGAAAGG